CTTTTATGAGGGGGGAGGCACAAAAAGTTTGCCTTCAGTCTGGAGGGGGGGGTCAAAAAAGTTTTCAATCCTTATTTTCCCCATTTCCCAACCCCCCCTCCCCATAAATAATGACCACTCCCTAAGCACTGAAGCATGCATTGTCGTAGAAAACCGTGAGGAGAATTTCGAAAACTGAGAGGTGAATTGTAAGTTTTAACCGCAAGAATGTAACGAAAAAAGTAACGTAAACGTTGGCTATAAAAGTAACGCGTTATCGTTTCATTTTAGGAATTTAGGCCAAAATGTAACTCGCTACAGTTACAGGAATGTTCGGTATGAGAAATTTCCGGTATCGGTATACCGAAAAAATTATACCGATATTATCGGTATACCGGTTTTCTTTTGATACTCACTGAAAATCAATCTCACTGAAGTGGAAATTCTAAATCATTGCAGTAGAAAGTTCTTTGAATTGCCATTCAGTAGTAAAATAAAGGTTATGGTTTCGCCATATAGTTGGTAAATTTAACACGGTATACCGAAAAATTCCGGTATATCGGAAATTTTGGTATATCGGTATGGTTGAATATCCTGTATCGATATACCGATATTGATTTAATACCGATATTTTCGGTATATCGGTATACCAAACAGTCCTAGTAACTAGTTACCGTTACAGTTACTCAAAAAGTAACGATTACTTGTAATTTCGTTACTTGTAACGAAGTTACTAACAGCACTGCTTACATTATGCTCTTCTATGTTTTTAAGATCTTGGATCGTTCGACGCGAATCTTCCCCCAAATTACAAACCGGATGTGATCGTTGGTCAAGCAAATTTTGTAAAATGTCCAAAACACGAAGCTGGTTCTGGCGTCATTTACAAATGGGGCAAGTCATCAGAGATCAGCGGCACAAAGTTTATGGCAAGCAAAAAAAACTATATTGTTTTAGATGACGGGACTTTGTTCTATTCAAATCTCGAGGAAGATGATGTGACCACATTCAACCAGAATGCTTGGACGTGCGGAATGGAAGGGAAAGTGAATGAAGAAAGCAAATTCAGATGGGCTGAAAATGTAAAGACACAATTGAATAAAATTGATAGTAAGTACAACTAGATTGTACATGTTTCTTACTATCGTTCATGTTACACTGTTTCATATTCAAGGCCGGATTTTGGTGGAACTGTGGACAGGGCTGCAAAGAAATATTTGACTTGACAGGACATTTGTCCGATCACTTTTAATTTTGGTCGGACATAACTTGAATTTGGTCGGACATTAAAACCAACATCACTAAATTTGGTCGGACATATATACGTCACAAGATGCTATAAGTCACGAGACACGTATGTATAGCCATTTCGGCGCAACGTTAAGTAAAATGCTAGTAAGAATGCCTTATTGCAAAATGCAAATTTGCAACCGGATTTTGTCGCAGCAAAAAATGTATGTGACAATTTTTTTTTGTGATCGGACCAATGTCCGATCAAAATTACTTTTTCTCGGACATTTGCCAAATTTAGTCGGACATTGTCCGATGTCCGACAGTAATTTGCAGCCCTGTGT